GAGCGTGTGTCCATCTTCTTATACAGTCTATGCATAAGTGATGTGTTTCATGTCAGCTGCTTGCCTCTGAGCGTCTGCACACACACCTATGATGTACTGATACTACATGTCTGCAGCATTTTATCTAGAAAAGCTACATTTACACATCTATCATTCGGGTCCATGTTTGTCACGTGACGTCTCATCATTGCAGTGTTTCTTTTAAAATGTAACTGTGAACACTGAATAGTTCAGCACGCTTCAACGACACCAGCACGACATGCTGTCCAATCACGTGTGAAGGCAAAAATGTTTATTCTTGTCTCACATGGCTCGCTGCCTGGCTTCTGACTGTCTCGATGCCATGAATTGTACAAATGGAAGTAATGGCTCACTTTTAGGCAGCCGGCTGCACCCATGAAAGACGACGACACAAACGTGCACACCGCCGACTGACAGTCAGAGCAGGTCAGCATCAGGTTAAAGTGTTAAGGGTTAACATTCATGCAGGTTTGTCATATCAAGTTTTTACCTTATTTTTAAGCTGTGATGATAAAATGACAGCAGTCATACTGTCAGTAGAGGTCTGACAGCGTGCCTAATATGAATGTTGATCTCAAACCTGCGCTCACTGCCAGATTTAGTAGTCATGCAGTGCATCTTTATGTTCTTTGGATCCTGCTTTTGTGCACATTTCCAAGACTGAGAATATCTCTTTGGTGGAGGAGATTAGACGATCCAACGTGGTTGTTAAGATTCGAGGGCGTTAATAATGAGTTCATTTTATGGGTTATATTTTTTAAGGAAACAGCTTTTATGTTACTGACACTAGGCTTGTTGAGCATGTGGCTGAAATACAGTGAAACCTGTTAGCATCTATCTGACGAGCGCTGCTAAACCTAGAGCCAGGACGGTGGTCAGCAAAGACTCGACCCGGGCTTCATTTCCAGCTGATACTTTGTGCTTCCCTCTGTGTGGAACATGAGCCTGGAGAGATGAGTCCAACCTCCCAGCATCGCTGCACAGTCCTAATAACATGCATTCCTTCTGTGTGATTGGCAGCATAAACTGTACCCTCCTGTCATGTGAGTGGCGATTGTAAAAGTCAAAAGGCTGGAAATTAAAGGCCTCTCTCTCTGTCTCAGCACACACACACACAGACACACACACACACACAGACACACACACACACACACACACACTTCCCCAAAAGAAGGAACAGTTTGATTAAATAATAGATGTGTGCTAAGAAGGGCTGCTCATGCAGCCTGCCAGTCACAGGGATAAGTAGGTGTCCTTGCAGGCCGTAATGATGATAATTAGAGCCATAGCTGGTTGTGTCGAATATGATGATGAAGAGAGCTGTTATTAACCTTTCTGCTTGGTGTATCTGCGTTTTCTCTCTGTCCTCCTGGCTGGTTTAGTCCTTTGGAGGCCTGAGAGAGCGGGGGCAGACAAAACCTGCTCAACGTCAAATTGGACGGCGTGTTTAATGACAGAAACTCTAAGCAGGGCTTTTCTGAGGTGGACGTGTCACCGAGAGCGCCAGCTTTGCCTGTTTCTGCTGCTTTTTTGTTTGAAGCCAGCACGGCATGTGTGAAAGCATACTGTGTTTTTGGTGGTTTCACACTCCTGCACCCCCCTCAGACTTCTCACTCCAACCCTCCCGTGGTTTACGTTTGACAGGTTTCAACCATGCTTGACTCTCACACACTCTCAACCATGCAGTTGCCTCTTTAATTGTCTGCTATTATCCCTCGTGCATATCCATTCAGGGAGGCTCTCCCTCCCTCTCCTCCTCCCCTCTTCACCGGAGAAGCTTCTCGCCACGCGTCGGATGCGGCGCTGCCTCCGTGTGCTGTGACTCAGTGAGGGAAAGGAAAAAAAAGGTGGGGTGTTGGGGGCTCTCGAGTGTGTTTGTTGTCACTGCGGTGCAAATTAACATAGAGGAAGACGCTCTCAGGGTCTGTCAGTTGCTTTCCTAGCTTCCTTTCCACCCCCGCGCTCCCTCTTTCTTCAGAGCAGTGACCAGAGGAGTTTAACAAGGGTGGTGAGGCGAGGGGGCAACCGAGGAGTGGGTGGCGCGTTCCTCTTCAAGCTGCTGGGCAACACGGGCCCCTTGTGCCCTCGACACCCCCACTTTGCTGCACCAGCTAATCAACCTTCAATGCTAATGTGGCTCTGGAGAGTAAAAACAGAAGTTCTGAAGATTAACACGAGAGGAAACATTTTGAAAAGGAAGAATAATCACTGTATAATCACAATGATAATTAAAACTTCGCACACTCACTTGCACAAAGGAACACACAGTGATTAACTGCTGGGTTAAGTAAGTCGTCTTGAACCCTGTGTTGCAGCCAGTGCTGAAGGTCCTGCAGGTCCTGGATTTGAGTGAGAATCTGTTGGGGAACGAGGGGATCCAGATCATCAGGGAACCTCTCATGGTCAACAACTCCGTGCTGCAGCTTGGCCTGGCCCAAGCCAGCATCACCTGTGAAGGTACACCATGTTAGTCTGTGTTCTGCATTTGTAATACAGCTCAAGTTCACTTGTCACGAGATAAAGTGTAGAAAAACATAAGGCTCATGTCCTGCATCACGTTGGGTTACTGCATCAGTCAGAAGTAGCTTCTTTGTACAGTAACATTAGCCTTAGGGTCGGGTCCAGATTTGGTGCTGCTGTCTTATTCTTTTTTCCATTGTCTGGGCCTCATATCATCTTTCTAACAACAGATATTAACAATATTTTAACCACTGAAAAACACATCTAAGCTCTGCTAGGAAAAAAATGAAAAATCAAACAGTTACTTTCACACCTCAGTCTAAATCCAGAAGCTTGTTTCTGCTCACGAAACACTTTGTGACCCACTTTGAGCATCAGTATAATGGGATATAGTTCACTAGCTGGGCCCACGTCCTCATTTTAGGTTTGACAGCGTTTTAGTAGGTAAAGGTGAATGCTTGGACATGAATTGAGCTGCGGTTTGGGGAAGGCCTCGAAGGGGACTGGCGACAGCTCCCGGGCCTGGCAGATCCCCAAAGAAGGCATCCCCTAAAAGCAGTAATAACTGTGCGATACAAAGTTCGAAGACGTCAGCAGATTTTCGATTCGACTTATTAATACAGCACCGAACCACAGTGACAGACGCCTCGAGACCCTGCAATGATGTCTAGAGGGAAACCCAACAATCATATGACCCCTATGAGCAAGCACTTTGGAGACAGTGGGAAGGAAAAACTCCCTTTTAACAGGAAGAAACCTCCAGCAGAACCAGGCTCAGG